TATTTGGTCGTATGAGTGCATATGCTCCCGAAGGACTTGGTTTTCATTGTGGTCTCGATTGGTTTGATCGATCATTAGCTGGACGTATTTATTTTTTTCTTTTATTTGTTGATGTCTTTTTTATACCGATTATAATTGTTATTTATGTTAATGTATACATTCAACATACTGTTTATCGTTTAACGCATTTGAAACCATCTATTTTACTTGAACTTCGAACAGATTCAAATGAAAATAGTTTACGACGACATGTTTCAGAAACATTAAATGAAAAAGAAACTCGACGTTTACTTCGTTTATATGAAGATCGTCGTTTTGTTTTAGCTACTAGTATAAGTGTAATTATTTATATGATTGCTTGGGCACCATATAGTATTGTAGCACTTGCACAAGTATTTGGTGATCAATTTTCTTTATATAATCCATGGTTAATGACAACTTGTGCAGTTTTAGCTAAACTTTCAATGATTACAAATCCGATTATTTATGGAATTCTACTTAAAGGTCGTATCATGATGACATTAACGTTAAATATGAAATAATTATTTATGATGATGATTTCTTTTTGCATTATATTAAAAATCAAATGCAGCGTATACAGAGAAATAGAAAAACAAAAAACAAACTGTTTTTGGTACATTTTTAATGTACTAACTAAATAGGAAGGATATAAGACTTTAATGAATTATCTATGAAAAAGGTTTTTTATTTTTTGTTGTTGATTTTGTTGTTGCTTTTGTTGTTGTAGATGATGACGATGACGATGATGATGATGTTCGACTTTTTTCTTGTTGTCGACGAAGTTCTTTGTAATTTTCCCACGTATCTGTATAAGGTCGAAATAAATTTGACATATATTCTTTTCCTATATCTTGTACTGCTTTAAAATCACCTTTTACGTCTCGTTTTGTTTTATCCCACCCTCCTGCTCGTTCATATTTACCTCGATGTTCAATAAATTTATCTTTACCAACACTAAAAAAATATGCTGTTAATTGTGCTGCACGACGTATTGGATAGGATTCTGAAAGACGACGAATTAATTCTTCATTATTTGATAAATAACGCATTAATGAACGCCAAGGCATATTAAATTTATTTTTTTTTCTTTCTAAAAACGACAGTCACATAAAAATTATTTTTATTTAAATATGATGAAAAAATCTTTTCATGACAATGCATTTGCCTAAAGACATATGTCATCAATTCATTGAGATAATAAATGAATAAAAAAAAGTCGATTTATTCATTTAAGACAAAAAAAACAAGAAAAGTCAATAATCACAGTGGCAATTTTGAGAACAAAAAACAAAAGAATGTCAATTATATAATTAAAGATAAATGTATCTGCAAAAAATCATAAGATTTTATAAAAGTCTTGTTTAATGACAATTTTGACAATCTTTTGTACATAATTTGCCTTTATCTACTCGACATCGACATCCACCTGATGTATCACCACGACCACCCGGACCCCATCGTGGACCACGAGTTGGCCACTAAAAAACAAAAGTTTTATTATAATCAACAAAAAAAAAAGAATAAAGAATGCTACACTTACACAAATTTCCATTTTACATTGTGTACATTGTAACCAATCACAACCGGATAATTTTTGTATAATGACTTGACAACCGGGACTGAATATATTATGTCAGATATATATACATATATATATATA